TATTTATTTATTTGTTTATTTATTTGCCTGAGTGTTTTATTAGTGTACTTGCATTATCTGAGTGTTTTATTACACAAAGAGGTACTAACCGTAAGAGTTCATTCTGAAAGAATTCATAGAGCTCAACAAGCGCAAAAAACCTTCCAAGGTGGTTGCCGAGAAACCTCCGATGAGCGGCATGTTTGCCAGCGCAAAAAGCCTTGCGGCTCACAATCAGGGATTCTTCGAATGACCAACAGAAACCAGGCGATGCTACAACTTTTCTTCTCCCTTCTTGTCCCTCTTTCCGCGCTCTCATTGTCAGGCCCAGGGAGACATGTGCAAAAAGAACTACATTTTCTTGCCTCCCCGACGTATGTAAGCCATAAGCCAGTTGCCCTTTTTTAGTCGGCGCGGTGGGCGCTCCCACAGGGGCCTGTCCTTCATTAGCCAGCGAATTTCAGCTCTATGAAGATCTGACTGTTTGTGGTGGACACGTGCGTTTTTACACCTCTCCTCAGACGGCGACGAGAACGTGTACTTGGCGTGGAGACGCAGCACACCAGCCCGACGCGGATTGTGAGGGGGGCGGGCCGGTGACGGCGCGGTTAGTCGTCGGATGGGTTTCGCATCCGACTGGCTGGAAGCGGCGTTCGGACGCTGGACACAGCGAAGTGCGGCGGCCCGTGGCGCCACACGGCGTCTACTTTGTGTCCACGGCTTCGGCGCCTTCGTCAGGGCGCTAGCGCACGCTCCTGATCCTGTGGCGGCCAAATGTGCCATTTTGGCGCTTTGTACCCTCCTTGTTCACATATTCATACTGCTTCGACCACAACGGATACGATGGGCTCAATTGTGTACGTTTTTCGCGTCTCCATACCTGTTTTTGTTTACTTGTTTTTTATTCGCTTTTTTCCAAGCCCTCATTCCAATAAAATCGGAGAGGAGGGGGGGGACGTTTGGTGCAGGGCACCTCACGCTTTTGAAACCACGGCAAACCTCCTTTTCCTCCGGCGAACAAGCCGAAATGTTGTCCTATTAAAGCTAATTATTCTTGGACGGCTACAATCAAGTACTCATCTGATCAAACTTCCTTTTATGGGAATTTAGATGAATTAGTATCCACGTAGTTTTTTTTTCACCTAAATTTCCTCTGTTCACCCATCCGAGCTCCTTAAGAATTGGGATTACCGTAATCCTTACGAGCAATTGCACCAAAATGTCACCTCCCTTTGGTAAAATGTACCCTAGCTTTTTTCCATGCCTAATAAAAAGTGCTTAGATGGGCAGCAGTAATTCTGAGTCATTTCTGAGAACTTATTCTCCCCAGGCCATCGCCTTGTTTTGCAGCAGAGCGTGGGGTATTGCAGTTGGCAAAATGCCTATGAATTATTTATCCTCTCGTAAACAAAGTCACAAAGAAAGGACAACAACCGAGTTAGATTAAGCGCTCAAAATATTTTGCGAGGATTCCTCTTCCCCCCCCTCTCGCTTCTGTTCGTTAAGTCACTCCTTTCCGTCCATGTACTTGAATATGGTTACCGTTTTTGTGGAGAGTCCACCTCCAGTGAAATTGTGCATTAGTGCGTCCGGTGTGTTTTATTTACATACTTGTCATCGCTGCAAGTGTTTTTTGCGATTGCATAGCGCCACCGGCTTTTGGCTTACATTTTCCCCATTCAGTTTATTCTAGGTTTTTTGCTTGAATAAATTATTGATTGACTTTAGGCACGGCCTTTTTACTGGTCGTCGACTGCCTCACATCCAAACCTGGTCACGATGCGCTGTTTCCAGCTATTCTGGCAACATTCGCTATTTACACATTACTGACACTACCGTTTTATCTGATTCTCGGCGGGACCATCATCCTGTCTGTGTTTCAAACGTGCATTTTTGTACTGTTTGTGCAGCCGCTTAGGACGAATGAGGTTCGTTTTTCTTTTTTCCAGACGCTATTGATTCGAATTTCTTGTGGCTCGATTGTTTCATTAGCCAATGGAGGTGTAAATTCCTCATTTATGGCGGTGTTTCTCGTTTTCAATTTTCTATTTCATTATGTTGTTTTTGTTTTGTTTCAATTTGCGTCTTTCTGCGTTCGACTTTGGTCATTAAAACACATCTGGCGTTGGCCCGTGGCTAACCGTTGTTAGGCCATTTTACTGCCGATTTTCCTTTCTTCGTTTCTCCTCAGCAATTATTCGCATTCAATGCAATAATCGCAGTCCCATTCAGGGAGTATAATTCGTTTGATCGTTAACCACCGGTTCTTAACCAGTGCTGTTCCTCTTTTTTCTCAGGCTCAAAGGTCGACGTTTCCCGTAGGAGTAGTAAATTTGCCCTGACCTTCAATCCTTTGAAGAAAAAGAGTTGCCCTTTTGAGCTATTCGGGACAAGAACGTGAGACGGAAGCCTTCGGTTTATGCTCTTCTTCCTCTCTGAAAAACCTTGATGATAGGTGGGGACAAGAAGCGGGATGTGGGGAAATTTTTTTCTATGGGCAATGTTCCAAAGGTACTATGAGGAAACTGACCATTTTTTGGCGGATTTCTCAGAAATCTTCACCACTTGTTCTACTTAGTAATTAGCCTCTGTATACGAATGCTTTCTTAGTGAAAACCTTACTAATTTCGAGACGTTCGTTTATGACGATTTAGTTTTTTTTTTGTTACTTTTCATAACACAAGGCTCCTTTCTTGCCAGAATTTTTGAAGGAAGGCTTTGTTTGTTTGTTATTGACGAAGGCATTTGATGTTTCTATTAACCTTCAAC